ATTGAAAGGAAATGTTTTAAGTAAATAAATGAGGTTATTCTTTTAATGCATAATGAGGTTTAAAGATTGAAATTGCCTATCGAGGCATAAATGTTGAGGTTTGATTGTTAAATGATGATTTTAATATTTTTATACATGTTTTTATTGAGGCTAGACCACGCCAATCGATGTTAGTATCTTCTAGCAGGCCCAAATGAGGAAACAAATTTTAAAGACATTCATGTACAAAAATTTTTAATATAAAATCATGCCTCGTACACTTATTGGAGTATTCGTATCTCACGTTCAATCCGTAGTGTAGGTAATTATGCAAATGTTGAGGATGTTGATGCTCGCTTTTGGTGACCAAGTGGCTCATGTGTCCGCCTTTGTGTGTTCCTAACGATTAGCTTATATTTTAAATGAATTTTTATTTTTAAAATAATAATAAGTTTATTGATGTTAAACTTATGAATGTTGAAAATTTTTACTTAAAATTTGAGTATGAATATTGAGACAATATTATTTAGGAATGATTAATTATGGTGAGAGATGTTTTATAAATGATAAAATTTTAGAATAACGCTTCGCTATATTAATGAGAAAATCTTATGGTTATATATTATTAATGATATATTTTAAATTGAAATATTTGAAGATAAATAAGATTAAATTAGAAACAAAATTTTAAGGAAAAAAAGGGATATAAGTTTTAGTATCGATCCGTTTGATCATGACCCTTCAAATGAGGTGTCTCGATTGACGAGCAATATAATAACTCACCTCTTACTTAGAACTTTCAACAAACTAGTTATATGGTTTCTTAATGACCTATAACACTTGGTGGGGACTCCATTTTAATTGAATTCACCTTTCTTGAATCAAATGTCCATCGTCATATCTCCTAGCATCACCCTTCATGACAAAATGACGACCCCACTAGGGATAATTCTTATGGCTAGACATTGTGTGCAATTTTTGTGAATCGATTCGATGATGCGATGAATTTTGATTCTTGTATACTGATTTATATGATTTGCCTATCTAATTTAATTATATGCTTTTTTTAATGTATAATAATAGTGTGTTTATTGCCCTCGTGTGCTTATATGTTGTTGTTTTCACGTTTATGATTTAAACCTTTGTTTGTGTCATTTGTTTTATTGATTTGTTTTTGGAATGAATGCGAAATAATGCTCGTGCACACACTACACTTAGTATTTTTAATAAATGTCATACACTTGTCTTAGGATATAAAAAGGTAGTAGTGGTGCCCCGATGGATTTTATTTCATATAAGCACTCACGAAATCTCAACTCTTCTTATTAGATGTCATTGTTGTAATAGATAACCAATGATTTTTCATGCTTATTGCTCATCGCCTTTAGTAGTCCCAACAATTCTATTATGATTTGTGAAGCCCGAAGAGACCATATTTAAGACTTAGATAGATCCTATCATGTTCATATAATGACTTATAATTGAACTTCAGGATCTCTCTACTTAATAAATGCCATAGGCAAGTCAAATCTAAAGGAAATCTTGACTATATAATTTGGTTATGTTGTTTCAAGATTGATGATAAGAGGACCAACATAGACTTTAAATAAGCTATTGAATATCAAAAAGATTTTGAGGCATATCAACAAAGTGAAGAAGACTACTATAAATTTGAAAGGGTTATTGATAAAACCTAATTTTATCCTTAAACCAATTCGAGGTAGTTTCAAAAGTTAAAAATTGACCACTAGGTCCTCTTATCATCTTATGGAAAGTTTATTCTATATTTAGTTTCGATTGTCTTTTATCTTTAACATGTTGTTTATACCTCGTGTTTTTGTTATCTTCTATCTATGTAAAGTAATATAGGTCATTTTGCTAAAATTGCACTTTTCTTATGCATTTATTACATCCAAGCAAGAGAAAAGATAGATAATGAAGAGAGAGAGAGTTCAACTTGAGTAAAACCATTAGAAGGAAATAGATGCATTGAAAAAAGAGGTTATGAGGCCAATTCTTTTGCTAAAGTAAAGCTTGCAAAATTGTGAGTCTACCGAAGTCTTTGCTCAAAGGGAAGTTAACTAGTCATCTACCATTGTAGAAGTGTTCACTATTATACCACTCGCCTACTACTCGTCGCTCTCATCGCCATCTTTTGTCATGCCTCACCAAGACCATACTACACTTGAGAGCATATACAAGCTTACTCTTAAACCTTCCTAACCTACTCTTGTGCTCCCTAGACTCTACAAATGTTAGTGGTTTCATCTATTGATTTGACCACCGATGGGAGAGAGAGAGAGAGGTAAAATAGCCTCCGAATTTCAAACAAAAAAGCTCATGATTTTTAAATAGTGTTTAAGGGCCATTGAAGGGACCGATGTGTATGAACCTTTTCTTAGTGTAGACGGATGTTTGATGCCTAGCATGGTGATCATTAAAAAATTCAAAGTGCTTAAATTTTCTAAGTATACTAAGAGCTAATATCCTAGTGCCCACATAACAATCTACTTGAACAACATGGCCAAGGTAGCACATGATGAAAAGTTATTGATCCATTTTTTTCCCAAAAGCTTCGATGGATTTTCTCTTAACCGGTTCATTGACCTAGATTAGACTAAAGTTAAAAAGTGGAGAGATCTCGGTTGAGTTTTTCATAAGGTAATATAAGTTCAATATGGAAATAATTTTTGATATGTTAAGTCTACAATCAATAAAGAAAGGTTCTATACTAGTTTACTTTTTTTTTAAAAAAAAAACCATCATACTTTAAAATTTTATTCTAAAATTCAAACATAAAGAAAAATAAATTATATTTGTCATTACATAAAATTTTATATATAAAAATATTAATTGGATGAGAATTTTCATAAAAAATAAAAATTCAAATAATAAGATATATATATATATATATATATATATATATATATATATATATATATATATATAAAGTTATCGTATAATGTTACTGGGTGTTTCTTTTTATAGCTTGATTATCATCCAAATTACAGACTTATAAAATATTGATTTAAATTGAAATATTAATTTCTTCAAATTATTCTCATTCTTGGATTGTACTATTTATATACATCCTTTATCATTCTTGTTATTAGAATGTGTATTGTACAATAATGAACGAAATGCAATAGACCAAACATCTATGTCTTGAGTGCGAAAAGAGTTTAAAGGATCTAAATCAACAATTATATGTCTAAAATCTCAATAAAGAACTTGATATATATATATATATATATATATAATTCATTAAAAGGTTACATGGACGATAAAAGATTTGATCAAGTCAACTGAAAATAAAAGATATAAGGAGCCAAACAAATGATATAATGTCATCTTCAAAGCAAGAGTAACACATTTAGCAATCACACTAATGATAATTATCAATGTCAACTTAATAGATCGATTGACGATAATAAAGTCTTCTTGTGGACACACATGATGACATGATTCTAGCTAATGTCATGGACATGAACTTGTCTCGGTTTTGAAGCCTTAAACGGAAAGCATTGTTATTAGCATAACAACTTAGAACCGTCCCCTCTAAAGAACATGAGCGCATGTGATAAACAAATGTAGCCATTGTTTGAAAATAAAAAAGCAACAACATAATAGTAGGTGCTAAAAATGATAAAAAGCAAAAAATAAGCCTACAATAAAATCTAACTTTAACATAAGATGTTCCTAATGGTCAATTATTCTTGGAATGGAAGTAATTAATCTAAAATAGAAGCAATGTGGCTCAACAAATTGAATGAGATCACTATCGATAAAAAACATTAGTATAAAATTAGAACACTACTTAAATAAATCCAAGTATATTATTCAAACTAGTTTCGATTCACATTAAAGAAGCATAAAACTTGTATGCAAAAAAATCTACTCCTCCCGGAATTGGTCGAATAAAACAAACTATTCCTCGGCCATTTTCTCTAGCAACAAAAAAATGTGCTTCATCGGGAATTCATCCTTCCGGCAAACCCGATATCACCAATTGAAAACTACACTCCTATTTGATCTTGGAAATCTTGTTTGCTACCACTTTTAGTGGCAAGGAAGCCATTCATCTAGATTTGAAAGATGATTGTTTTGTCACTTCCTCGTATCCTCTTTCTAACGTATTCGGTTTGAACTAATTTTCTTTGGTCCATCGGACTTTTGTCACCTGTGTAGCTCTATACATTTTCATGATTTCATACCTTTGCTCTGTATAGTACCAATAACATTTGCACAATGTGTTAAGTCTAAGCTAACTACTACAACGAGTCCCTATATTTAGAAGCACTGAAAGTCGTTGAAAAGCAAAAGTAGGTACTCGCTTTTATCACTTTGTTTCATTTATAGTTTAAATTTCTTTCTTTTATTATAGTTTCGCATCTTCAAAAATCAATGAAATGAACTTAAATTCGACATACATACTCTAAATTATTATTATTTTTTAAATGAGATACAAATACTATAAACTATATATATATAGTTAATTTTTTAAAATGAAAATACATGTAAAGAATATTAATCTACTCATAATTTTTGCTTCGTCATCCGACTTACCGGTCGGTGACAATTAAAGTAACATCTATAGTTTATGTATTACAAAAAATTATGAAAATACTTGACGACACCATGGCAACGGACACTATTTTCAAAAATAGAAAATTTTTAAGGGTAAGCTTGAAAAGTGAAAAAATTAAATGACATAATACCCACCGAAAATTTCGGACTAGGGTTTTGTAATTTTGAACAACAAAATTTGAATTTTAAATTTTAACAATAATTTATTTATAATATCTATGTTAGTAGTTTTGTTAATTGTGCATAATTGATTATTTACTTTTTTTATCACCCAACTCAACCAATCTCATCCCATCTCTTTTTTTCTTTTGATATATATTAGCGAGTACTTGTTATAGTTGTTCATACCTTCCTTTCTCGTTTTGTTTTTCATTTATTATCTCTATTGTTGGAGCATTCTTCTAATATGTATGTTGTTGGAGCATTCTTCAAAAATGGCTAGAAATAAAGCGTTTGTAGTATTTCGTGGTAAAGCTCCTAGGGCTTATCTTTCATGGGAAGATTGCGAAGCACAAGTGATTGGTTTCCCTAGAGCTCTATATCGGGGTTTCAAAAATAATTTTGAAGCTGAGAAATCTTATGTGAGATTCTTTTATGATGATCATCCACACGGATTTGCAGCTCATATGTCGACACTTCAATAGCAAGTTCATAGAACTCTAGAAACTTATGAAAATGTGGCATCCAATACCGAATCTAGGCCTTCAAAAATAAATATATTTAAGGATAGAAGAAATCAATTTGCCACCATCATCGTGTTAGTCTAGCAATTATGGATGATGTTTTTTTGCTTTGTAATTGGTGTGTACATGGGGTATTCATGGAGATGAGAATTTGTTATTTTGTAGTTCTTTTTTGATATAATGGAGATGAAGGGTTATGAATAATTTATGTTTTGTAATCGATAATGAAATGGAAGTACTATTTATTTATAAATTTGTTATGTCAATTTTTTCCTCCTATATTTAAATATTTAAGATCCAAGATCATAACAAATATTCAATAAGAAGAAAAATCCAAAGTACTCGTTTTCGAATGCTAATAAGTGTCTTGAAAAGTTGGTATCTTTCATTTTTCAAGTTACGGAAAACTAAAGTGGTGTTTTCAAAATACTAGTTAGTGTGCTAAAAAGTCAAAATCCTTCATTTTCAAGTTAGAAAAATCTAAAGTACTATTTTCAAAGTGCTAATAAGTGTCTTTGAAAAGTTGGTATCCTTCTTTTTCAAGTTACGGAAAACCAAAGTGGTGTTTTCAAAATCCTAGTTAGTGTGCTTGAAAAGTTAAAATCCTTCCTTTTCAAGTTAGAAAAGTCAAAAGTAGTTTTTTCAGCATGCTAATAAGTGTGCTAAAAAGTTGGTATCCTTCGTTTTTTAAGTTACAATAAACCAAAGTGGTGTTTTCGAATGCTAGTTAATGTGTTAAAAAGTCAAAATCCTTTGTTTTCAAGTTGGAAAAGTCCAAAGTACTTTTTCGAATACTAATAGGTGTGCTAAAAAGTTGTTATTCTTCGTTTTCAAGTTACGGAAAACAAAGTTGCGTTTTCAAAATGCTAGTTAGTATGCTCGAAAAGTCAAAATCCTTCATTTTCAACTTAGAAAAATCCAACGTACTATTTTTCAGAATGCTAATAAGTGTGTTGAAAAGTTAGTATCCTTCTTTTTCAAGTTATAGAAAGCCAAAGTGGTGTTTTCGAACGCTAGTTAGTGTCTTGAAAAGTTAAAATCCTTCGTTTTCAAGTTAGAAAAGTCCAAAGTAATTTTTTTAAAATGTTAATAAGTGTGCTAAAAGGTTCTTATCCTTCATTTTCAAGTTACGGAAAGCAAAGTGGTGTTTTCGGACCAGTTAATACGTTGAAAAGTCAAAATCCTTCATTTTCAAGTTAGAAAAATCCAAAGTACTATTCTTAAAATGCTAATAAATGTGCTTGAAAAATTGTTATCCTTTATTTTCAAGTTACGGAAAACAAAGTAGTATTTTCAAAATGTAGTTAGTGTGCTTGAAAAGTCAAAATCCTTCCTTTTCAAGTTAGAAAAATCCAAAGTATCGTTTTCGAATGCTATTAAGTGTTCGGACACCGAAATGAAATCCATTTATCTTATTATTAGCACGAGAGGTCAAGTTTTAATCACACTCGATATTTATTTAAATGATTGTTAGCATAGAGTTGCATTATGAAATTATAAATAAACAAGCCAATTACAAAGTTGTAACTAAACCAAGTATAAGTTAAGTATCATTCACAAAGTCATTATAAGTACGAAGGCAAATATAATATGTATGAAAGTATCTAGACAATTAGAATGTAAGATCATCATTTCTTATTTTTTTCTAAGATAATATTGAGTGGTGGATAAGCTTTTTTTTTCTCTAAGTTTTCGATAAAGTTGATCCGATTCTTGTAGAGGTTTTTGACCAAATGGATTTGCTTGCAACAAAGTCTCTAACATTGTCGAATTGACCGGGTTTTTTAGGTATTTGTAAAGGTCACCGTTCTTTCCTGTTTGAAACAATAGATGTGAAATAGTTAATAGTATAGTTTCAAACATTGCATACATATGTATTACAAAAACAATGTTGAGAATATTACCTAACAAGTTGTCTCTATTTGGTATGCTTGTAAGTGCTTGGAAATATCGCACGATGAATCTATAAAAAGAACATTGTATAATTAGAATATTTATATGGTGAATGCATTATATGGTGAATATAGAATATTTTCATGGAAAAAAGTTATAACATTACCGGATTGTGCATCAACTTGTATGGAAAATCATCCACCAATAATGTATTTGACTTATTGTATGAAAATTGATTCCACACTTTGGTCAATTTCTCTAAAAAAATAGGGTTTGCCCCTATCTTTAAGTTCAACGAGTCGCAATTTGATTAGTCCTACATCAAAGAAATCATACAAACCAAAATTATACAACAACAACAAAATATGGATTTATCAAACTCATTATGAATTTATACTTACCCACATAAAATAGAACCGATCGATTTTAACCCTAAATAACCCATTTAATATGGACATTGTATTATTTTTACAAAAAATAGTAATAAATTTGAATGATATGAATTTTTAGCAAGCCGAGTAATGTTTTGAAGTTATACAAAGTAGCAAAGAAGCGAGTCACATTTTTCAGACACTCGAGTAGCATTCGAAATTTAGGGACTTACTCGTTTCATGACATCTAAGTACCAACCGTAAATTTGTTGAAGCAAAAATCCAAGAAATCATCAACATAGGGCCTCTTAAAGACCGAAAGGGAACATAAGAAAAAAAAACAAGTAAATAAAATCGGTAAGGAGCTTAACAAATAACAAGGAATAATGTACATGATAATGTTTTGTTCACTCGGTTTATCTCTTAGCTTCATGTCTCCATTCTTTTTGGTTGAGGAATCCCCAAGACTTAACAAAACTCCATTGAGATCAAGTATTAAAAGCTTTTTTGCATCCTTTTAAGTGTTTTCATGATGAGGCTTTGGATTTTCATGCACACTCTCTTGATCTTGAGTTGTTTATTGATCCCGAGGCTCGAAGCCTTATGCTTTGAAATTCTATGCTACCGAGAATGTTGTTGGTGATATAGAGAAGGATTGGTTTGGATCTCTTTCACTACATTGGCTAGCATTGTTTTAATGTCGCTAATAGCATCTCTCGTTTTCTTGCAATCCATCCGTAATAAATTATTTCAAATTACTCAATTGCTCCCTAATGTCTCAAATCTGGTTCTCTATTTTATGTACTTAAGGGGCTTCTATGCCAGTACCGGTAGTATGAGTACTTGAGGTTGTAGTAAACCTGTTGGGAAATAGAAGCAATAGCTTCTTATTGTTTTGGCTGCCACCCTCGAGGTGTCTTGGCTAACTTCATAAATAATATAGTGGTCTTGTTCACCGGATCCCAACCTACACAATCTAAACCGTCCAAGTCTAACCCACTTGTTTTTAAAAAACCTAGTGAGAATCATACCATATGCCAATCCAATTTTTTTCTTTTCATAATTTGCAAAACCTCATTCTTTGACTCCTCTTGTCTATACAATCTAATATCAAAGCGACAAAGTTCATAGTTTTTTATTCATAATATTCCATATTACGACCTTTTCATAAATTGACACATACTCTTTTCCACCCAACTTAGGCATGATAATTTTTGTAATGGCATAATGAATAAACCTAATCTCACGTTTAAAACTAGTCTTTGTCAAATACTTGTCATTCAACACTCCTTTAGCATGCTCATGATAACATTATTTTCTAAATTCGTTCTCATTATAACCTAGTAGATCGAAAGTTGTTTCCTTATCGAAATCAACAAGGTACTCCTCCATTGGTAAGTTGAAATACTCATGCATTTTTTTCCTTTGTAATAACCACTCTAACACTTTTTATTTCTCCAATTAGAATAGTTTTCTTTTCAATCTTTTTAGATTTCAAACTATCATAGAAATACCTAATATAATCGGGGTATATACTTTCTAAGAACGTTAATATGTCCAAGTAAGTACAATTTATCAAAATAATATGCCACATTAAATCAAATCTTTAACATATTATCAAAATTAATGCACTTACCTGCAATGATCCTCTATGAGCTTATCACTTTGTTGTAATACGTTTCCCTCTTAGGTTCCGAAAGGAATGGTTTATCTTGCTTGAGTCCGAACAACCAAATCATGGTTGTATTGAGGTTCCTAATTGTTTTCATCCTTCGCCTTCTTAGAAGGACGATGAGATTTACTCGCCTTTTCGTTTATCTCCCATGGATGATCGAGGGTTTTACAAGAAAAAAGGAAAAAAAATTGAAAAGGAAGGATGTGTTTATTATGAAAAATTGTGATCGATAAAACCATTTTTGGTAGAGATAACTACATAAAGTTTTTTATTTTTCTAATTGCGCGCAACCGATTAGAGTGCTAAAAAAGGTTGATCGGTGTTCCAAAAAGGCTTGATTTATTTAGAGTTAAACTAGTCCTTTGAATTTCTAACTCGGAGACCATATTAAAATACAAAAGTATCCCTTATCTAGTAAGTTCAATTCAGAATTTTAAGGATAAAAACATAAATGCATGGCTTTCTCGTTGCATTCCCAAGAGATAATACTAATGATTTGTTTGTGGTGGGGCATGTAATGAATTGTATTTAATTTTAGAAAATTTGAACTAATTTGCTTTCATGCTTTTTTTCGGTATGCTGAAAAAGTTTGTTTAGTGTTCTAAAAAGTCTTGAATTAGTTGGAGTTATATAGCCCGTTCGAGCTTCTAACTTTGCACCATATTAAATTACAAAACATCTCTTGTCAAATAAGTTCAAATCACCAGCTTTAAGGATAAAAACATAATTTGAAGGCTTTCTCGTTGCATTCCCAAGAGATCCGTAATGATTTGTTTATGGTGGGCCCTCTAAGCAATTATATTTAATTCGGAAAATGGTCGCCGATTTGCTTTTGTGCCTTTTTCGATATGCTTGAAAAAAGTTTCTTCATGATTCTAAAAAGTCTATGTTTAATTGATTTGGTTATTGACAAGCTTTAATTCACTAAACTACATTGACATTTAAATCTTAGTATATCTATAAAATATAGAGACTTGATATTAAGATAAATAAAAATAGAAATGGTAACAAAATATTAATTCTATTTATTTTTTGATGAATTGACCATTTATTAAGAAGGAAATAAAATCATATTTTATAAAATAAATAGTAATCCTTGCACAACTATGGTGCAATTAATTAATTATTTTTTCTTTTTTTAATTCATTAAAATAATATGATAAAATATGAAAGTTATAATATCGTCTATATCTTGATATGTTATATATGTAAATTCCATTTATTTATCTACATTGACCATTTGACTTATGTTTGACAATTAATTTAGTCTATATCTTGATATCATGGAGATGAATTTAGTTAATATCTTAGTATGTGATCGTTGACTATCTTAGTATGTGATCATTGACTTATTTGACCATTACTATAATATCATGGAGATGAATTTAATCAATATCTTAGTATATGATCATTGACTATCTTAGTACGTGATCGTTGACTTATTTGACCATTACTATGATATCATTGAGATGAATTTAGTTGATATCTTAGTATGTGATCGTTGATATCTTATTACATGATCGTTAAATTATTTGACCATTACTATGATATCATTGAGATGATTTTAGTCGATATCTTAGTATGTGATCGTTGATATCTTATTACGTGATCATTGACTTATTTGACCATTACTATGATATCATCGAGATGAATTTAGTCGATATCTTATTATGTGATTGTTCACTATCTTAGTAAGTGATCGTTGACTTATTTGACCATTACTATGATATCATCGAGATCAATTTAGTCGATATCTTAGTTTGTGATCGTTAATATTGTATTACGTGATCATTGACTTATTTGATCATTACTCCGATATCATCGAGATATTACATACTGTTATATGATCATTTTATTGAACATCGACTAAGTTGACCATTACAATGATATAAGTTAGATTTCAAAAATATGGCGTCGTTTTATTTATAAAAAAACGGCGTTGTTTTATTACAAAAATTTCACCGACACTCACGACACTTGGTTTTTCAGCATAAAAATTGATATTTTAGCATACTAAAGTTTTCAAATGTTATATTATTGGAGAAACGCCTAGTCGTTTCACTTATCATTAACCATAAAAAATTTCAAACGAGTTGGATAAGAGGGAAGAAATAAAGGAACGGTTCAAATTCAAACAGATTTACGGGAGGGAAGGAATAAAGACTTTGCATATTCACCTTGCAAACAAGATATTTCAATTACGCATGCTTCAACTATCTTGGTACTCTAAAAACAAAATTATTACGGAGTTAATCTTGTAAGAGGTTATAGTTGTACGATTCTTAGCCTATTTAAACTATTATAAACTCTTTATACGATTACCGCACTTAACCTAAATTGATTAGTGAGAAGAAGTAAGATAAATAGCAAAAAAAACGTTCAATCATCCTAAGCCCTTACCAAACTCTTGGTTACATATATTTAAAAACATTTATCTTATTCAATTTTAATTTTCTTATGATAATAATTTTCAGCAAGCTGAATTTTTTTTTTTTTTGTGATTCATTTCATGTAAACGGATAAGCAACCAATAAGGGTTGATGAGCCCTCATCCCCTTTGGCATTTTAGATGTTATTCTTTGAAAGAAGAAGAAATCACAATGAATGGAAAGCTCGAGGTGAAGGAGTTCCCGTGATGTTTGCCTGCTTTGGTGAACACGGAATCAATGGTCGCTACAATGCTTGACATGCCTCCTTGATGCGTCCGTACAATATGTGGCTTAACGAAGAAGGACTCCCGATTCCTCTTCATTTTCCAGGCTACAAGAAAGACTGTGGGGAAGTAGATAGCAACATGAATGTGAAAAAATCACGGGGAAGGCAAAGGAAAGTTTACGTTGTCACTATTAGAGACAATTCTAAGAAAGACTATTATATTTTGATTATGATATCTTTGATATCTACTTTTGTTATTTTATGGACATTTATTTATGTTTTTATTATGACATTTATCAATTATGATGTTTTGTGATATCCGAGATTTTATGAACGTTTTCGGTAATCACTTTTTGTGATATCTCGTGATTTAATAGACGTTTTTAGTTATCAACTTTTGTGACATATATGATTTAATGGACATTTCAGTTATCAAGTTTTGTGATATCCGTGATTTAATGGATGTTTTCGATTATCAACTTTTGTGATATCCGTGATTTAATGGATATTTTCAGTTATCAACTTTTATGATTTGTGATTTAATGATAATTGATACATTGTCATTTGATAATGGTGAAAATAATATTGGTACCGACTAAAAGACTTAACTCGTTCTTTAAGAATCCAACAAAATAAATTGATGTATACTAACAAACTATCATTTGATAATACAATTGATACACTCGTCATTTGATAATGCAATTGAAAATAAAGGATATCAACTTTTTACCACACTTATTAGCATTCGAAAACAAAAGGATGGATTTTTCTAACTTGAAAACGAATGATTTTGACTTTTCAAGACACTAATTAGCGTTACGAAAACACCATTTTGGTTTTCAATAACTTGAACAACGAAGGATTTGAACTTTTTAGCATACTAACTAATATTTTAAAAACACTATAAACATTCTTTAGTTGCGGTACATTGATACATTGTCAATTTTGACATGCTGGAACTAAGTATTGGCATACTAAAATCCAAATTTAAAAAATTTTAATAAAGTTTACGATTGGTCATGTTCCAAAACACTCGGTGTTTTTGTTGAAGTTGCTACAACATTAGGGATCGAAGGTTCCGGAACAACATTTTCAAGCTTTTTCTTATTTTTTTCTTGCTTTAGTGGATTCATACTCCTGTCTAGAAATCAGCCTCTTTCCTCTCGGCTCGCATTTGCATGTTACCACAGTTAGATCTTTAAACACAATGCATTCTTGTGTACTAACCACTTCAATAGCCACAACATCGGTTTCATTGTTATTACCTGCCATATCAACACCGGTATTGCTAATGGTCATTTCTTTTAGTTTGGACAAATAGTCATTCAATGATTTCTTCATAAATGACATCAATGTCTCATTAGAAATGGCAAGATTAGCTTTTTCGGAAAATGTTTTTTTCAACTCCCTAATTGAAGGCAATGTTGTGTCACGCCATCGATATCGACCAAACTAGTGATGATCTTGTTATGACGTCCGGCTACATCCTTCCTCCAATGTCTCAACAGATACTTATCCGTAATTATTCACCAACAACCTAAATACATGTCTACACATAATTTCTTTAAAATCAAATAGCCTATAGTTACAAGATACATCATTATTTTAAGGGTTATATGCTATCCATACTCCAACAACTTTGTACTCGTCATCTTTCATAAAAACCCTATCCGAAACTTTGTAGATGATACCAAGACCTTTTCATTTCAAGTACACTCGCATCATAATAATTCATATCACACAGACTTAACTTGTACTTTACGAAACATCAAATTGGTGTAAACACTTCAAAATTGAAGCTCTAACAGGAATTTGGTCCATAAAGCAACTATAACGTTCATGGTATCAAAATCGACATGTTTTTCTTTGTCAAACTTATCTCATAAAGTAATTTCGTATTGCTCTATGAATTGTTTCGAGTGTGGTCCAAGAATACACATAATCATCAAAATAAGCATTCATACTCTCACTCCGTTGAGTAGACGACATGCTTACCTAGAAAACATCTTTCACAAAAGCTCGGAACCCATCGTCGTCTCCCTTCGTACAATTCAACCAGACTACTTGTTACCTTCTAAGTAAAAATCTTTAACCATTTTATCCCAACCTCTCTCAAATTGCTCATTTGTCAAGCTTTCATACACAACACCCATGAAAGCTTTTTGTAAGTCTTTTTTTTTCTTGTGATTCTTGAATTTCTCTAAAACCTTTGTTAGAATATGCCATAAACACCATCCGTGTCTAGTTTTTAGGATAGACTATGGAACGACTTCATCGATGCTCTTGTATTGATCGGTGATGATGGCTTTTGGTGTAACATCGCCTATGTAACGTAACCAATTCGTAAATAACCAATAAAAAATCTTTGCCTCCTAATTGTGTAATAAAGCACAATCAAGAAGTATCAATTGTAAGTGATGATTGGTGTTGATAAATGGTGCAAATGGCATGTTATATCGATTAACCAAGTAAATTGTATCAAACATAACAATATTCTTAAATTCTTGATAAGCGAGTCTAGCTTAGAGCATCTACCTATAGAATGCTCGTCAACCTACCTTTATCATCATTTTTAACTTTATAGAAGAAATCTCGGTCGAACTCTTTCATTTTCAAGAACACCTTCAAAAGAGTTGTAGCATCACCTTCATCTTTGAGCCTTCTCCTCGACTAATCAATAAAATTCCTACACTCTTTAGTTAGACAAGGCATCTCCCGTGCACCTCTAGTTTGCATCACAACGGACTCGATATTGTTGCTTGGTCAAACACCTACCATGTCATTTATCTCTAACCTTCTCTTCATGTGTGAAGGGATAGACTCGTGCTACCTAATAAATCGTGTCATCTTTGGATCCATTTTATGGTTGTGATCTTTGATGACATGGTTTATCTTCCATTTTCCATCTCTCGCCGAGTGATCCTGTCGGCTTTGCTAGACAACCAATCCCCTTCGTAGTCTTAGCATGGGGATGAATCCTTTTGCGATAACATGAGATGCTTTGGAATTTATGAACACCATCAATCTTTTGTGAAAGAGACTTCATAATAGCAAATCCTATTGATCTTGCATACTTCGGTAGGAAAAGAATATATCTTCAACATCATCGAATTCCATCCTAGCCTCGGTGCTTCAAAAGTTTTAGAATTCCTAAACTCTTTATCCCTATGAATATAACTCGCATTTTCTTCATCATTGCGAAATTCTTCTTCCTCTTCGTAGCTTGATATTTCCACGTTTGAGTTTTTAATTTCTAGATTCAAATCATCGTATTCATCATCCTCATAAATGGAACGTATGAGTTCTTGTCTATCCATTAATGTAAAATCAACATGCTAAAAACTCAATATAGTGTGCTAAAAAACTCAATATAGAGTGCTAAAACCGATATATTTCATAGCCGACTCGTTATGTGACTAGAAATATTCTTCAATGGTTATTTCTTAGCATTAAATATTGTTCGTTAATTAATTGTATATCTAAATTCCTCTCAATCATTGGCATAATTGAGAATCCAAACCTTACATGATAAACAAGAAAGATCGGTATAAAAATCTATCGTCGCAAATCTAGTGTCTTGAAAGATGTGCTAAAAATGATATATCTCTTAGTTTAACCGATATTTCTTAGCATATTCTTCAATTGGTATGCCTTACCATGAAAGTATTATTTGTAATTCATTGCTCAATTGAGAATTCAAACCTTACATGATAAAAATATGAAGGATTTATCTTAAATTTATTGCTTTAAATATTATTGGTTATCCATCGGTGTAAATATAATGTACCGAAAGAGTGTGCTAAAAATGATATACTTCTTAGTTCAACTGATATGTCTTAGCATATCTAAGATTGTTATGTCTTACTATGAAGGTATTGTTTGTAATTCATTGAACAATTGCGAATTCAAACCTTATACGATAAAAATATGAAGGACTTATCTAAAATTTATTGCTTTAAATCTTATTGGTTATCCATTTGTGTAAATTCAACGTGTTGAAACGAGTTTACTAAAATTGATATATTTCGTGATTGACTTATTATGTGTTAGAATATTCTTCAATAGTTATTTCTTAACATTAAATATTGTTTGTAAGTAATTGTCTTTCTAAATTCCTCTTGATCATTAGCATAATTGGGAATCCGAACCTTACACAATAAACAAGGACTCGGTCCGAAATATATTGCTTTATATATTGTTTTCCCTCCAAAAATAAAGTACCTAACTTTTTTCCCTCTCTTGTATCCCTCCAAAAAAACACTACCCTTATAAAATTATTGGGAATTTTTTTTTTACATTAATGGTGTCATGTAGCACTCGCTTAAAAAATTAACATCAAATGGACATAAGCTAAATATAACTAAAAATATCAAAATATATGGTTAGAGCTTTATTATCAACATTGGCTATAACTCGTTTATGCGAGTGCTCCTTTTTTTTTTTAGAGTTTATTTTCCTTTACTTTGTAACTTTTTTTCATCAATTAATCTTCAAAAAGAGAAGCTATGTTAACCCCGAAGTAGCACAACCAAATAATCATTGTATCTCGCTTGTTTCAATCTCTATTTTTGTTCACGTTTAGGTTTTTTGAACTTCAATCATTTCTAAAACCAATCAAGCATTTTCATTTATGTGTTTATAGCTTTCTATTTATGTTCTCTTCACGATCTTGTCTATTTTGTTTTCTTCTTTAATGGGTTGATAGAGGCCTAAATATTCAAGCCATAAAATTAAATTAAACTAAATGTTAAGATATATGTCAAAGAAAGTGTTTACTCGCAACAATGCTTATATTTACTTTCATCAACTTTCTTCATTATTTTTTTTATTTCATCTAAGTGCATAGATTGGATATTTTCATAGCCACTTCACAACCGTTGATGATGTTAAGCTCATTTTTCCTTTGATTGCTTCTAGTGACTTATCCTAATGCAACGACTAAACAAACATCTTCAATCGATTCAAGTGAGAAACTTAATAACATCCGACATTTGGAATATAGAATTTTTCTTTTTAAAAAAAGCATTTTAGGTGATGCCCCGAAATAACCAATTAACAAACTAATCATGAAAATGGGAATTACATGAAACATATGGGGTGCGGCTATTTCTAACCAAAAATAGTTGCATTCAGCTCAACTTGCCAAGGTATAGCATTAATGTTGAATAAAAATGCATGGAAAAAGATATGTAGTTACTCATGAAATGAATCAAACAAATAATACAAAGACTACATGCAATCTCAAGCTACCGTAAAACATAAGCACATTGAATGATTCAGGAAAAACTTTTCCATGAAGAAACAATGAAGAATTAAACTCCTTAGTGACAATTTCTACATGCTTTCTATAAAGAATTAGGGGACGTTAATATAATAGCATCTCATGATTAAAAAAAATTAAACAAAAACTTTGAAAAGCATTTCAACATTTAAGTAGTCTCCAAAAAGCAAAGATCAACTAATTCAATGCTATGTAGCAATCAAGAAAGCTTTAAAAAATCTTATAGGATAGCAGATCATGCTCCATTTTATTTTAGATATAGTGAGAATAGTGTTAAGAAAAAAAAAGGTGAAATAAAAAAGGGACACACAAATAGATAGTTAATAAACCTATGTATAACAATAGTAAGAATGGACATCACTAAGTCTCATCTATGCCTCAACTGGTACAATCATTCATTTTATAGTCACGTGTTCCCCCTACATAAGTAGAAAATATAAATTAGTTTAAGATTTGAAATAATTACCATCCACAATCCATCACGATTTTAGTATATGTATGGGTTTTGAATTCACCAAATTATATCGGAATTAAAAATATACCTTAATTTGTTGCCGGATTTGAGAAGGCTTTGAATAATGTATTATTAATTAAATCCTCAACTCTTATGAAATGCATTTAAAAAATATTCAATATAGCCCATTGTCTACACAACAGAATGAAGGTAGTTAGTCCTTGGCCTATATGTTTTGTTTTTTTTTTTTTTGTTTTTTTTTGAATCAAAACTTACTTGTGGCTAGAGTTGCATGTATCATTAAAAAGGCAAAGTTTCCTTTATTCCGTTATTGACAACCTTAAACTAATGGCATGAAATATGAAAAAAAAAATTATATCAATGTAACTTAAAAATACAAAATTAATATGTAATAATTAGAAGAAGGCCAAAAAAAGAAAAGAAAAAAAAGAAAAAGATACTTATGAATAGTTCTTAAATTACGATAAGCCGATAAGCTTCAATAGATACTTTTCATAAGTATCTTTTTAATAATTAGTAGGCAAATGAGTTCTAGATATGATGCAAGCTTCAATAGATTCAATATCAATCAATTTAGCACTACTTTGTACAATAAATTACACATACGAGTCGATAGTCCGAATCCTAAGCTTCTAGTCATCTATTGAAAAAAACCAATCCAAAACAACTCTCCACCCATGTCTCTTTATCTCTATAATAGAAAAATTCAAACCACCATAGCCATGGAACTATACTATGAGCTACCTAGAATCCGCAATAGTCAATTGGGCTTAATAAGAAATACTAGTGCAAAGCCTATATAAAATTCATATTACGGAACTTATAATTATATGGAAATTCAATCTATAGAGTTTCTAGGAAAATCTGCATTATCTTCTTATCAAGTTTACAAACCTCTCAAAGAACAACTTGCTTGTTCGTGAAGAGTTCCTCAATCGCCACCACCACATAGAAGCCACCTTTAGAACTTGTAAAACCACCAAATTCACCAATAATTCATCATTGAATTTACAATTTTTCATTAAAAATTCACCAATAATTCATCATTGAATTTACAATTTTTCATTAAACACACTTACTCTAAAATTCTTAATCATGAACTCATCTCCTTAACAAACCTTTTGTACAATTTCAACAACCACCCACCCACTAACCAAATCAGCGACCACCACCATCACCATACATACCTTTTGCCTTTAAAATAGAAGGCTTCTTTCAGATCTAAAAATGAATTTTTTTAAAAAAAAGAATATTTACTATCAAACATACTTGCTTTAAAATCCTAAAATTTTCAACCCATGTCCTTACAAACCTTTTGTACACTTTCAAGAACCATCCGCCCACCAAATCCGGTACCCATCACACATATTTTTGCCTTTAATATAAATTGTTTTTTTAGATCTAAAAGATGAAGTTCAAGAAAAAAGAAAAAAAGAAGAAAAGGAAATTGATTTTTTGTTCACAAGAGTTAACATACTTTTTTTTTTCGGATTTAATAGATGAGATTGAGAAAGGATGGTGAGTTTCATTTATGAAACATGATATTGAAGAGAGATCGATGGAGATAGGTTTTTTTTTCTTGATGATGAAACTAGGAGAGGAAAGACAAGCAATGATGAATAGAAAAATAGAAAAAAATGAGACAATAGCATCTATGGGGAAAAGGCTAGGGAAAGACAAAAGAAAAATTTAAAAACCAATGTGTTTGCGAGTTGGAAGGAAATGGAATGAGAGATAAAATTTTAAAACATGTTTGAAAGAAGAGGGAAAGAATTGTGCGACTTGGATCAATATGGGCCGCAAAACATCTAATCAAACAACTAACAATCATGGAAAGAAGCCTAAATAGTATTAATTTTGAGGAAAGAAGAGGAAGGAAATAGAGAAGAGAAAGGAGAAAAGAGCAACTACAAATCGAGAGAAACACAAAGAGATAAGAAGAATAGATGGTCAAGAGAGAGGAAGGGTACGCACGAGTACATCAATAATATAGCCGAGTCGATATAAGCAATAGCTAAATAGTTACAATCCTTATTTTTTTAATTTTGTTTGGTAATAGTTGATTGGAATAGGAAATCTCTCTTGACGAATGGGAATATGGGAATTGGGAAAAACATTGTATGGTTCTTCTCTTGCTTCATAATGTTTTTCCAATTACCATATTATTCCTTCATGGAAAATATGTTCTAGTAGGCGAGAAAAATATCCAATATACTTGTATATTTCATGGGCATTTGTTGTTAGTGTAGATGCCTAAAATCCAACTTGGATTGGATGACTTGAGTTATTGTAACATTGCATTATTTATTTAATAAAAGAAGTCTTTCTATTAATTATTTTTGTTTATATTTATTTATTGAATAGAATTAGATAGAAGTCCATATGATATGCATTTGCATTAATTATTGATCATAAGATGTGAGATGAACATTAATACACTTAAATGATATCTTTAAATGTCTTAAGTTGTAACATTGTCAAGAATGGATATTGATTATATATAATTAGACTTATGAGTGCTATGCTCATGTTATAAGATAGTAATAGGAGATCTCACACCT